ACGGCGTTGTCGCCCTTGCTGTTGATCTGTGCAACAAATTCTGGCGCATTCCCCGACCTCTGGCGGATCCAGTACATTTCAAAATTCCCAAAATCGAACCCGGCCCCTTGGCAGAGGAGGCGCAGGGGCCCTCTGGGGGGCTGGGGGTCCCCCCCGCACTCCAGCAGGGTCACGGCCACCCGGAACCCATTCCAAATCCTCACCAATTTCACTCATAACTCCACTGGTTCAGTCCCAAATCTCCACCAGATTTTTTCGGGTATCCTTAAGTTCCTCAAAAGCTGGAATTAAACTCAATAATCTCATTAATTAATTGGACACCTTCTGCTCAGGGTTCCACATTGATTTCAATACTAATACCACGTTAATAACCCCCAAACACTTCTGGGACCCCAACCCCGGCGCATCCCGGCCTTGGCCCTGAGCTCCCCCTGGCTCCAGGTCCTTCTGCCCCTGCTGGCCCTCCCAGGTGGGCTCCGCCCCTTTTTCCACAAGCCACGCCCCTTTTCCCCTTCTAGACCAATCATATTTCTCATTTTTAATCATCTCCCCTTTGGCCCGCAGGGCTCCGGGCGGCCGTGACCCTGCTGGAGTGCGGGGGGGGCCTTCAGCCCCCCAGGGGGTCCCTGACGTTGCTGTGCCGAGGGTCCGGGTTTGATTTTGGGAGTTTTGGAATGTTCTGGATCCACCAGATACCCGGGCAGGGGCTGCAGTGACTCGCGGGGATCAACAGTGGTGGTTACACCGAGTACGCGGGTCCAGTCAAGGGCCGGTTCACGATCTCCAGGGACAACAGGCAGAGCTCGGTGACGCTGACCATGAACAACCTCAAGGATGAGGATTCCGGATCCTATTTCTTTGCCAAGGGTTTTGGTGGCAGTTGGGGTAATGATGTCTCTGCCTTTGGCCCCTTCCCCTTGACTGGGTCCCCTTCTGTCCCCACTCTTCAGACCCTTCCCCCAAATCTCAGCCCTTCACCCCATTCTTCACCCTTGGTCCCAGATCTCCCCCAGTTCTAACAATGCCAACCACGGAGGCAAAACCCCCCCACTGGTTCTGCCCCAAACCCAAATAAGTTTGCAGGAAAATTGCAAAATTCTGCCCGAACACCCCACTTTGTGCTCCCAGCCACAGCTGCTGACACGAATCCCCAATTCTGACCAAAATCAGGACCCTGGGCCCCAAACCCCAGTCTTCAGGGCAAAGTTTTGGGGCATAAAGAGGAGATTTGGGGTCAGGAGCTGTGGTTTGGGGACAGTGGGTGAGAACTGGGGCCGAGGCAGAGCAAGGTTGGGATCAATGGTCAAGGGCTGGGTGCGGGCTGGGGGTGTGGGGGAAGGGTCTGGGCAACGGGGACAGGTGGGGATTAGGAGATGGGGATGGGGTCAAAACATTCAGCACCAGCAGCACCATCATAGCAACCAGCATCCACACATTTGGCACAGAAATAGGATCCGGAATCCTCGTCCTTGAGGTTGTTCATGGTCAGCGTCACCCAGGTCTGCCTGTTGTCCCTGGAGATCCTGAACCGGCCCTGGACTGATGAGTCGTACATGGTGCCACCATCGCTCCAGATCGCTGCCACCCATTCCTGCCCCTGCCCGGGTCTCTGGCGGATCCAGAACATGGTGAAACTCCCGAAATGGAACCCGGACCCTCGGCAGAGGAGGCGCAGGGACCCCCCGGGGGACTGGAGGTCCCCCCCGCACTCCAGCAGGGTCACTACAGCCCGGAGCCCTGCGGGAGAAAGGGCAGATGGGGATGGGAAACCTGATTGGTCAAGAGTGCCCAAGTCATCCAGGCCAATTGGAAAAAAGGATGGGATCCATTCTCGAGGGTGACCAGGATCAGGAGGAGAAGGACGAAGTGTTCACAATTTGGGGCCCAGAGTCAAGATTTCGGTCAGTGGTTGAGCTTTGGCCTCATCCCCATCTCCCCTTTGTCCCGCATGGCTCCGGGCGGCCGTGAAAATGCTGGAGTGCGGGGGGGACCTCCAGCCACCCGGGGGGTCCCTGCGCCTCCTTTGCTGAGGGCCCGGGTTCAGTTTTGGGAGTTTTGGAATGGATTGGGTTCGCCAGAGACCCAGGCAGGGACTGGAATGGCTTGTGGGGATCACTAACACTGGTGGAAACATTGGCTACATGCCATCGGTCCAGGGTCAGTTCAGGATCTCCAGGGACAACGGGCAGAGCTCGGTGACGCTGACCATGAAGAACCTCAAGGATGAGGATTCCGCCGTCTATTTCTGTGCCAAATCCTACAACACTGCTGCTGCTCATATTGATGTCGGTGCCATCTCTATCCCTGTGTCCCCGCCCCGTCTCCGTTCCCCAGATGCTTCCCCAGACCCGCAGCTCACACCCAGCCCTTGACCAATGATCCCAACCTTGCTCTGCCTCGGCCCCAATTCTCACCCGCTGACCCCAAACCACAACTCCTGACCCCAAATCTCCTCTTTGTGCCCCAAACTTTGAATTAAAAGTGGAGATTTAAGGCCAAGGTTAAGACTTGGGTCATCTTTCTTGCCAGGTATGGAGAATTTGGGGACGAACCACTCTAGGGTTGGGACAGAGTCAAGAATAGGCAAAAGTGTTTGGGTTTTAGGGAAGGGTCTTGGATTTGGGAGCCGGTCGGGACACGGCCACAGGGTCTGGACCAAAACCATCCACAACAGCACCAGTACCCCAATTGTTATAGGCAGATTTCCCGCAGAAATAGGATCCGGAATCCTCATCCTTGAGGCTGTTCATGGTCAGCGTCACCGAGCTCTGCCCGTTGTCCCTGGAGATCATGACCCAGCCCTTGACCGATGGCACGTAGCTGGTGCTGGAACCGTCTTTCTTGATCGCTCCAATGTATTCCAGCCCCTGCCTGGGTGTCTGGCGCACCCAGTACAGGCTTGAATCCCCGAAATCGAAGCCGGCCCCTCGGCAGAGGAGGCGCAGGGACCCCCCGGGGGGGCTGGAGGTCCACCCCGCACTCCAGCAGGGTCACGGCCGCCCAGAGCCCTGCGGGACAAAGGGGAGATGGGGATGAGGCGACGCAAACATCAGGCAGAGGTGTCCAATTAATTTATGGATGGATTGCAGCTATTTGTAGGGTTTAAGGAACTTTTCAATACAGGAAACATCTGCTGGACATTTGAGGCAAGAATAAAGGATTCTCGGGCAAAACCAGTGAAGGTTTGGGGTTGGGGGAGCGGCCATGACCCTGCTGGAGTGCGGGTGGGATCTCCAGCCCCCCGGGGGGTCCCTGCGCCTCCTCTGCCGAGGGTCCAGGTTCAGTTTTGTGAATTTTGGGATGGGCTGGTATCGGCAGAAACCCGGTCAGGGGCTGGAGTGGCTCGCGAGTATCCACAGCAGTGGCAGCACCGACTACGCACCATCAGTGCAGGGTCAGTTCAGGATCTCCAGGGACAACAGGCAGAGCTCGGTGACGCTGACCATGAACAACCTCAAGGATGAGGATTCCGGATCCTATTTCTGTGCCAAGGACACCGATGGTCATAGTGCTTACGCTGATTCTTTTTGGGGAGGATGGAACAGCAAAGCATTATCAATAGGATTGCCTGGGAAAAGATTTTGAGAATATGGAAACCATCAGCGAGATTGAAATGAAGGCAAGCTTTGAGATCCCTCAGTGACTGAACAACGGGAAAACAACGGCGTGGCCGGCTGAAGGTTATCCCATTTTGATGGCACAACACCCTCTGCCTACAGACAGCTCCAAGGGTCAGAGCAGACACCCCAGCTTGGCAGAAGGGCCCAAAGAGGAGTTTTTAGGGTTTAAAGTTACTCCAAAAAGGAGTTTTAGGGTTTAAAGTTACTCCAAAGAGGAGTTTTTAGGGTTTCCAAAGAGCAGGTCTTAGGCTTGGCAGAAGGGGCCCAAAGAGGTGTTTTTAGGGTTTAAAATGTAATAGAGTATGGTAATGAAACGATTCTTAAAGGCTGTATGCAAATTCTGTAGGGTTTGTATATTGGACCAGATTGGTTAGTGATAATTAGAATATTCTGTAGAGAAGAAGATTTATTGTATTGTGGTGGGAACCTCACTCTCTTACCCTTTTATTCTCTTAGAGTTTTATGTTCTTACTCTTTTACACTCTTACCATTTTATTCACTGACTCTATCACTCTCTTACCCTTTCTATTCTCTCACCCTTTTAACTCATTTACCTTTTTTAATCTCTTACTCTCTCACCCTCTCATCCTCTCTCCCCTCTCTTCTCTCAGCCCTGCTCCAGCTGTGTCTGGCAGCTCCCAGCAGGGCCCTGCAGTTCGTCCTTTGCAATAAACCCCAAATGCTACAACCTGGCTGCAGAGATCTCTCGTGTCCATCCGTCTGTCCTGACCGTCCTACGCCCGGATGCTCCTGCAATGTTGGTCGGGGATGGGGCCAAGCCCGGCACGTCAATCGCACCAGCATCAGAACTGCAAACACCAGTGTAAGCACATTTCCCACAGAAATAGGATCCGGAATCCGTCGTCCTTGAGGTTGTTCATGGTCAGCGTCACCGAGCTCTGCCCATTGTCTCTGGAGATCCTGAACCGGCCCTTGACCGACGGCGCGTAGTCGGTGTAACCTCCAGTGTGGTAGATCCTTGCGACGTATTGCAACCCCTGCCCGGGTCTCTGGTGGATCCAGAACATGTCAACACTCCTGAAATCCAACCCAGACCCTCGGCAGAGAAGGCGCAGGGACCCCTCAGGGGACTGGAGGTACCCCCTGCACTCCAGCAGGGTCACGGCCGCCCGGAGCCCCACAGGACAAAGGGGAGATGGGGATGAAGGAAAACATCCACCCAAATGTTGATTATTGCATGCAGATCCTGATGTTGCCCAAAAATTGGGACCCTTGGACCTCACCATCTTCCTCCTGCAACTGCTGCCAGTCATCCCGGGTGGATCCCACACCCTTTTTCTGGAATGACAGCCCCAACTTTGACCGCACAGCCAATCTATCCCCTCATCCCCATCTCTCCTTTGTCCCGCAGGGCTCCGGGCGGCCGTGACCCTGCTGGAGTGCGGGGGGGACCTCCAGCTCCCCGTGGGGTCCCTGCGCCTCCTCTGCCGAGGGTCCGGGTTCAGATTCGGCAATTTTGCCATGAACTGGGTGCGCCAGAGACACGGGCAGGGGCTGGAATTCGTGGCGTACATAAACATTGGTGGAGCCACTTACTACGCGCCATCGGTCAAGGGCCGGGTCACGATCTACCAGGACAACGGGCAGAGCTCGGTGATGCTGACCATGAACAACCTCAAGGTCGAGGACTCCGGATCCTTTTTCTGTGCCAGGGCTGCTGATGGTTATGGTGCTGCTGTTAATGGTGACAATGCCCCTGATGGTCTCAAGCTCCTGCCTTTCGTCCCACTCCCATCATTGAGTCCCCAGAGTTCTGCTTTTCATCCCAAACCTCACCCATTGACCCAGCCCTTGAGCCTTTGTCTCCATTTGCCCCAGTGGTCAGCACTGACCCCAAACCCTCCCCTGCACCTGCCCCAAATCTCAACCATTGGCCCCAAACCTTCACCCCTGGCCTCCAGTTCAGGCCTGCTCCAACCAGGTCTTGGGAGCTGGGGGAGATTTGGGAGGAATGGGAAAAACTGGGAGAAATTCGGGAGTTGGGGCAGCAGGGGCGGGGTTTGCGGTAAAATGGCCGAGATTTGATGAAAAGGGCTGAGATTTGGTGGAGAGATCAGAGTACTGTGGGATATTTGGGAACAACGTGGAGGGATTTGGGACCAAGATCAGAACCAGCAATAAATGCCACACGAACAGTACCATCACTATTGGCACAACCACCATCAACATATTTGGCACAGAAATAGGATCCGGAATCCTCCTCCTTGAGGTTGTTCATGATCAGAGTCATGGAGCTCTGCCCATTGTCCCTGGAGATCCTGAACCGAACCTTGTACGATGGCGTGTAGGAGATGCTGCCACCGTTGTCCTTGATCCCTGCCACGAATTCCAGCCCCTGCCCGGCTCTCTGGCGCACCCAGAACATGGAGAAACTCCTGAAATTTAACCCGGACCCTCGGCAGAGGAGGCGCAGGGACCCCTGGGGGGCTGGAGGTCCCCCCCGTACTCCAGCAGGGTCACGGCCGCCAGGAGCCCTGCGGGACAAAGGGGAGATGATTAAAAATGAGAAATATGATTGGTCTAGAAGGGGAAAAGGTGCGTGTGTTCCAGAAAAAAGGGGCGGAGCCCACCTGAGAGGGGCAGCAGGGGCAGCAGGGCCTGGAGCCGGAGAGAGCTCAAGGCCAAGGCCGGGATGTGCCGGGGTTGGGGTCCCGGGGGTTTTGGGCGTTGTTAACGTGGTATTACTTTTGAAATCAATGTGGAACCCTGAGGAGAAGGTGTCCAATTAATTAATGAGAATATTGATTTTAATTCCAGGTTTTGAGGAAGTTAAGGATAGCCAAAAAATCTGGTGGAGATTTGGGACCGAAGCAGAGGAGTTCTGACTGAAATTGGTGAAGATTTAGGGAAGGGCTCCGGGCGGCCGTGACCCTGCTGGAGTGCGGGGGGCACCTCCAGCCCCCCGGGGGGTCCCTGCGCCTCCTCTGCCGAGGGTCTGGGTTCAGTTTTGGCAGTTTTGGGATGGGCTGGTATCGACAGAGACCTGGGCAGGGGCTGCAGTGGGTCGCGGGGATCACCAACACTGGTGGAAATATAGGCTACGTGCCATCGGTCAAGGGCCGGTTCACGATCTGCAGGGACAACGGGCAGAGCTCGGTGATGCTGACCATGAACAACCTCATGGACGAGGATTCCGGATCCTATTTCTGTGCCAGGGCTTTTTGTGCTGGTTGTTGGGCTGTTGCTAATCATGGTGACAATGCTGTTGATAGCGTCAAACTTCTAGATTTTGCTCCTTTCCCATCATTGTATCTCCAAATTTTCGATTTTCATCCCAAACCTCACCTCTTGTCTCAGATCTTGACCCTTTGTCCCTATTTGCTTTAATGGTCAGCACTGACCCAAAACCCTCGCCTGTTTCTGCCCCAAGACTCAACCATTGGCCCCAAACCTTCACCCTGACCCTTTGTCCCAACCCTGTCCCCTTTGCCCCAACGCTGCCCATTGGCCCCAAACCCTCCCCTGGCTCTGGCCCCAAACTCAACTCTTGGCCCCAAATCTCCCCCTCATCCCCTAAAAGTGCCCAAAGGGTCGAGATATGGGTGAAAGGGGGCAAATTTTGGCACCAACTCAGTTGGGTTTGATGCAGAACCAGTCGGGGTTTGGGGTCTGTGGTCACCATGGGTGGAAATGGGGCAGACGTTGGACAAACGGTCAAGGATGGCGATTTGGGAGAAGGACCTGGGGCTTGCGGACAGGAGGGGACACTGAGATGGGGGTGGATCCACCTCAGACCTCTTCATAATTAGCACCAGGATTGCAATTATCATCAGCAGATTTGGCGCAGAAATTGGATCCGGAATCCTCGACCTTGAGGTTTTTCATGGTCAGCGTCACCGAGCTCAGCCCGGTGTCCCTGGAGATCGTGAACCGGCCATGGACTGATGGCGTGTACTCGGTGTTGCCACTGCTGTGGATCACTGCGAGCCACTCCAGCGCCTGCCCAGGTCTCTGGCGCGCCCATTCAATGGAAACACTCCCGAAACTGAACCCGGACCCTCAGCAGAGGAGGCGCAGGGACCGCCCAGGGGGCTGGAGGTCCCCCCCGCACTCCAGCAGGGTCACGACCGCCCGGAGCCCTGCGGGACAAAGGGGAGATGGGGATGAGACCAAAGCTCAACCCTTGACCCAAATCCTGACCCTTGGCCCCAAACTGGGATCTTTAGAGTTCATCATCCTCCTCCCAGGTGGATTCCACCCCTTTGTCCAGCTGGCCACACCAACTTAGAGGCCCTTGACCAATCAGGTTTCTCATTTCCATCATCTCCCCATTTTCCCGCGGGGGCTCCGGGCGGCCGTGACCCTGCTGGAGTGTGGGGGGGACCTCCAGCCCCCCGGGGATTCCCTGCGCCTCCTCTGCCGAGGGTCCGGGTTCAGTTTCGGCAGTTTTGAAATGGAATGGGCTTGACAGAGGCCCAGGCAGGGGCTGGAATGGGTCGTGGGGATCTGGTACGATGGTGCTTACACCTACTATGCGCCATCATTCAAGGGCCGGTTCAGGATCTCCAGAGACAACGGGCAGAGCTTGGTGACGCTGACCATGAACAACCTCAAGGATGAGGATTCCGCTGTTTATTTCTGTGCCAAACGTGCTTATGGTGATAATTGGACTTATTCTGATGCTTATCATTTTGTCCCCGTCCCTGTGCCATTGCTCCCCTCCTGTCCCAATTCCCCAGGCCCTTCCCCCAAACCCCAAGCCCTGACCCCGTTCTTGTCCCCGTGTCCCAACCCTGATAAGACCCAGATATCTGATTTGGGCTGATCCCCAAGCCATGCAGGCCAATCTGCATAAATCTTGGAGACAGAGTGCCCCAAATCCCAATAGATCAGAGATGCCACCATCTCAGCAAGCTCAGTGACTTCAGCTCTTTAGTGATTCTCAGCTCCCTCAGGATTTCAGCTATTAAGTGATTTCAGCTCTTTCATGATTATCAACTCTCTCAGGATTTCAGCTCTTTCGTGATTCTCAGCTCTCAGGATTCAGCCTCTTTGCTCACTCGCTGGGGCGCCTTTGGCTGGGGCAGAACCAGACGGACAGAGAGGAGCAGGAGAGGTCCTGGTGGTTCCACAGCCATGGTTCATTGAGGGATCTGTGAGGGGTCGCAGCGACAGCTCTTCTCCGGTCCGATGGGCTAAACCAGCCCCTTTTTGTAGGGTACAGGGGGATCCAAACGTGTCCAACAGTGAGGGTCAGGGAGAAGTCACCAATGGGGTTACAGAGATAAGCTCTGGTGTGAGAGGTAGAAGACAGGAGATCATTTTGCTGTCCCATCATGGCTGAGCAGTTCCAGCTGTTACGTCTCAATCCTCCCTGGAGCTCGCGCAATCTCTGTGGACTCTGCTAAAGGACATGAGGTCAACACGATAGGCAACAGTCTCCCAGCCAGTGCCATCCTTAACTGATTTGGCGCAGAAATAGGATCCGGAATCCTCGTCCTTGAGGTTGTTCATGGTCAGCGTCACCGAGCTCTGCCCGTTGCCCCTGGAGATCGTGATCCGGCCCTTGACAGACGGCGTGTAGGCGGTGGTGCCACCACTGGTGATCCCCGCCAGCAACTCCAGCGCCTGTCGTGGTCTCTGATGGATCCAGTACATGGTGGAACTGCCAAAACTGAACCCGGACCCTCGGCAGAGGAGGGGTGGAGTTTCCCCCCGCACTCAAGCTGGGTCACAAACGCTCCCCCATCCCCAAACCTTCAGTGGTTTTTCCACCAATTCCCTTTGTTTGTCCCCAGACATCCAACAGAGGTATCCTGAATGGTAAAGTGCCTTCACCCCTGCAGATAGCCCAAATCCACCCATTTATTATTCTGACAGCTCTGCCTGACTTTTGCATCTACTCACCCCCATCTCCCCTTTGTCCCACAGGGCTCCGGGCAGCCGTGACCCTGCTGGAGTGCGGGGGAACTCCAGCCCCCCGGGGTTCCCTGACGTTGCTGTGCCAAGGGTCCGGGTTCTGTTTCAGGGGTCAGTCCATGCAATGGATCCGCCAGAGCCCCAGGCAGGGGCTGGAATGGCTCACGGGGATCCACAGCTCTGGGGGTCACACCTACTACGCCCCGTCGGTCAAGGGCCGGTTCAGGATCTCCAGAGACAATGGGCAGAGCTCGGTGACGCTGACCATGAACAACCTCAAGGACGACGGATTCCGGATCCTATTTCTGTGCCAAAGCCGCTGGGGCGGATGGGGATGACCAGGATGCCAATGCTATTGACTCCATCCCTATTGTTGTGTCCCCAAATGTCCCCATTCCCCAGACCCTCCCCCAGGTCCCAGCCCTCGTCCCCGCTCTCGGTGACTGAATTCGTGTCCCCAGCCCCGGGCCCAGCGCTGACTTTTGGGGCAGAGTTTGGGGGAAGATCAAAGGCCAAGGGTTGGGGTTTGGGGCCGGAGAGGGGAAAGGGAAATGGGGAAATGGTCATGGGCTGGGTCAGGGGCTGGGAGCTGGGGAAGGGTCTGGGGAACGGGGACAGGTGGGGATGCAGTGATGAGGGTGAGACAAGGACTTCGCAGGTCCCCATGAGCAGCAGCACCAGGACCACAAGTATTGTAAGATTTCCTGCAGGAATAAATGGCGGAATCCTCATCCTTGAGGTTGTTCATGGTCAGCGTCACCGAGCTCTGCCCGTTGTCCCTGCAGATCGTGAACCGGCCCTTTACTGACGGCGCGTACCAGGTGCTGCCACCATTACTGATATCTGCAATGTCCTCCAGCCCCTGCCTGGGTCTGTGGCGCATCCAGCCCATCCCAAAACTGCCAAAATCGAACCCGGACCCTCGGCAGAGGAGGCGCAGGGAACCCCGGGGGGCTGGAGGTTCCCCCCGCATTCCAGTAGGATCACGGCCGCCTGGAGCCCTGCGGGACAAAGGGGAGATAGGGATGATGAGACCCATTGGTTGTGCAGTAAAACTGGGCGCTGCCATTTCAGAAGAAGGGTGTGGGATCCACCTGGGATGACTGGCAGGAGTTGCAGGAGGAGGATGGTGAGGTCCAAGGGTCCCAATTTGGGGCCAACATCAGCATCTGCATGGAGGAATCAAAATTTGGGTGGATTCGTTCCCTCATCCCCATCTCCCCTTTGTCCCGCAGGGCTCCGGGCAGCCGTGACCCTGCTGGAGTGCGGGGGGGACCTCCAGCCCCACGGGGGGTCCCTGCGCCTCCTCTGCCGAGGGTCCGGGTTCAGTTTTGGCAGCTTCGCCATGCAATGGGTCCGACAGAGACCTGGGTAGGGGCTGGAATGGGTCGTCTACATCAGGAGTGATGGTTCCAACATTTACTATGCGCCATCGTTCATGGGCCGGTTCAGGATCTCCAGGGACAACGGGCAGAGCTCGGTAACACTGACCATGAACAGCCTCAAGGACGAGGATTCCGGATCCTATTTCTGCGGGATATCTGTCTATAATACATGGGGTGCTGCTGCTGATTGTATTGATCCCATCCCCATGGCTCTGTCCCCACCTGTCCCAGTTCCCCAGACCCTTCTGCCAAACTCTGGCCCTGACCCCATTCCTGACCCCATCTCCCTACCCTGCCCTGGCTTGCCCCATATTCTCCACTCTCAACCACAAAGTTGACTGAAATCTTAACCCTTGACCAAAAGTATCCACTTTCAGAATCAAGTTTTGGGGCACAATGTGGAGATTTGAGGTCAGGAGTTGTGGCTTGGGGTCAGCGGGTGAGAATTGGGGCAGAGTCAGAGCAAGGTTGGGATCAATGGTCAAGGGCTGGATGTGGGCTGGGGGTCTGGGGGAAGGGTCTGGGGAACGGGGGCAGGGGGGGACACGGAGATGGGGACAGCATGGGCATTGTCAATGAAACCACCACCACCACCATCACCATCATCAGGTTTGGCACAGAAATAGGATCCGGAATTCTCGTCCTTGAGGTTCTTCATGGTCAGCGTCACCGAGCTCTGCCCGTTGTCCCTGGAGATCGTGACCCAGCCCTTGACCGATGGCGCGTAGCCGGTCCAACCAGCATTGTTGGTGATCCCCACGACCTATTGCATCCCCTGCCCGGGTCTCTGGCGGATCCATTCAAAGTCAGAACTGCCAAAAATGCACCCGGACCCTCGGCAGAGGAGGTGCAGGGACCCCCCGGGGGGCTGGAGGTCCCACCCGCACTCCAGCAGGGTCACGGCCGCTCCCCCATCCCCAAACCTTCGCCGGTTTTTGTCAAACTCTGGTTGTTTTTTCCCCAATCTCTACCAGAGGTTTTCTGCATCATAACTTTCCTCAAATCGTGCAATTAACCCCGACCCAACTCCTTAGTTAATTGGGAACCTCCTTCTGATCCTTCTCCACTGATTGCACAATTAATAGCTCATGACCCCAAAAATCCCCCGGGACCCCAACCCCGGCACATCACGGCCACGGCCTCGAGCTCCCTCTGGCTACAGGCCCTGCTGCTATTGCTGCCCCTCCCAGGTGGTCCCGCCCCTTTTTCTTGAAAGTCATGCCCCTTTTCCCCTTCTGGACCAATCAGGTTTCTCATCCCCATCTCCCCTTTGTCCCGCAGGGCTCCGGGCAGCCGTGACCCTGCTGGAGTCCGGGGGGGAACCTCCAGCCCCCCGGGGGGTCCCTGCGCCTCCTCTGCCGAGGGTCCGGGTTCGATTTTGGACAAACAAGTTTTATTTGGATTCGCCAGAGGCCTGGGCAGGGGCTGGAAGGGGTTGCGCAGATTGACTACGATGGAGACACCTACTACGGGGATACAGTCAAGGGCTGGGTCAGGATCTCCAGGGACAACGGGCAGAGCTCGGTGATGCTGACCATGAACAACCTCAAGGACGAGGATTCCGGATCCTATTTCTGTGGCAAAGCTCCAGAAGGAAAATATGCTCTAGCTGCTGTTAATGGTTTTGACCCCTTTCCCATGGCTGTGTCCCCACCTGTCCCGCTTCCCCAGACCCTTCTGCCAAACTCTGCCCCTGACCCCATTTCTGACCCCATCTCCCAACCCAGCCCTGGCTCTGCCCCATATTCTCCACTCTTGGCCACAAAGTTGACCGAAATCTTAACACTTGACCAGAAGTATCCACTTTCAGAATGAAGTTTTGGGGCACAAAGAGGAGATTTGGGGTCAGGAGTTGTGGTTTGGGGTCAGCGGGTGAGAGCTGGGGCCGAGGTAGAGCAAGGTTGGGATCAACGATCAAGGGCTGGGTGTGGGCTGGGGGTCTGGGGGAAGGGTCTGGGGAACAGGGATGGGGGGGGACAAGGGGACGGGGATGAGGACAGCAAGGAATACATCGCATGGATCAGGAACGATGGTGGCGTCACCGGCTACGCGCCATCGGTCAAGGGCCGGGTCACGATCTCCAGGGACAACGGGCAGAGCTCGGTGACGCGGGCCATGAACAACCTCAAGGACGAGGATTCCGGATCCTATTTCTGCGCCAAACGTCTTATGCTGGTTATTTGGGTCCTGGTGCTAATTGAGATGACACCCATGGTGGATCAAAGCCGCCATCTCAGTGTCCTCTCCTGTCCCCAATCCCCAGACCCATGCCCCAAATCTCAGCCCTTGACCCCATTCCTGACCCTTTGTCCCAGATCTCCCCCATTTCCACCAACGCCAACCATGCAGCCAAAACCCCTGGCTGGTTCTGCCACAAACCCAAATAATTTACCACCAAAAATCACCCAATACTGCCCCAAATCCCCACTTTGGGCTCCCAGCAGAAGCAGCTGCTGACACGAATCCTCAACATTTGTCCCCAAATCAGAACCCTGGGCCCCAAACCCCGACCTTCAGAGCAAAGTTTTGGGGCACAAAGAGGACATTTGGGGTCAGGATTTGTGGTTTGGGGTCAGCGGGTGAGAACTGGGGCCGAGGCAGAGCAAGTTTGGGATCAATGGCCAAGGTCTGGGTGTGGGATGGGGGTTTGGAGGAAGGGTCTGGGGAACGGGGACAGGGAGGGGAACACGGGGATGGGGTCAAAACATTCAGCACCAGCAGCACCATCATAGCAACCAGCATCCACACATTTGGCACAGAAATAGGATCCGGAATCCTCGTCCTTGAGGCTGTTAATAGTCAGCGTCACCGAGCTCTTCCCGTTGTCCCTGGAGATCCTGAACCGGCCCTTGACT